GTTAGAAGTTAAAGCTATTCCTTATGTGTAAAGTTGTTTGATGTATCAAAACCATTGTGTTCAATGAAAGTTGTTTTAAGATAATCACTCTGGAATAACACCTTTTACATACATACATTTGCATTGCATTTGTTTATTTAAGCATTTTGCATAATCACTCATAAATATGTAATTAATCTGTGGAGGATTCGATGAAGTGGTCTTAACCATGTGATACCACATGGAAGCAAGAAGCTAAAATAATACAGTGGGAACTTGTTCAGTTGGTTTTAGGACTAAGCCTTTCATAATGATATGAGAAAAGAGTCCCCATATCCTGAGGGCTACGATGTTGATCTCGTGTACAGTTACCACATAGAAAGCTCATGACATTCCTCCGAGAACTGTGAGACACTGAAGCGCAAGATCCTAAACTTGATTGATTCAGGGGCATGGACAATTGAAGAAAATGGGGGCATTGTATTTATCATTAGCATTGAGAGCATTATTTTGTTTGAACATGTTTTTGTTCTGTCTTTCATATTTGTTTAATCTTTTAAACGAATGAACTTATGTTACCTTATAAGGTTGAGTAATTGAGCAAATTTTAATCTTTAGTTCTTTGAATATTGAATGAATTAAAGATTCTTTTAATTATTCAAGAATTATAGATTTTTGACATATGACAAGATTAGACCTTTCTTATCCTCTCCCAAAAAAAATCCCTTGATTTTTACCCAGAATAATTCATGGAGATACAAAGAGTCATACCAATACATTTGAGTCAATAAAGTCGCACCATCATCTTTTTAGACAAAAACACTGACATCTGTATACCAATAAAACCTAAGGCATTGAGTTGTTCACTTGAGCATGAACCTTCCTATCAGAAGACACAACGTGGGGCATCTCGCATCGACTTCCTGAAGATGAACCTAAACAATTGAGACATACTGGGAGCAAGAAGCAGAAAGGAGAATTACTTCGAAATAATTCTATCATGCATTAATTACATTTTTTTCATGTGAATAAAATTAATCCTGCAAATCTATTCCCCTGTGGATACCTCTTTTCAAGGACTTCTGTGTATGAGATGATGAACGACTTTATTTTAGTTATCCATATATGTATATATATATCACTTGTTGTCCCATTTTGAGCCTATAGTATTTTTTTCTTCTGATTCAACCCAACCAAGGATCACCCCCACACTGGGGGACAAGGTGGAAGAAATCTGCTCACATGAGTGAAGACATCAATCCATAGGAGATGCCAAAAGGTGAACCAAATGCCAAGTGCGAAGATCCAATCAGAACAAAAAAGAAACAAAAAAAAAGAAAAAAAAAGGGACGATAATCGAGTCAAGTATCTCATCAAGCTTTAAACTACGAGATTGATCAAGCACAATTATTCCAGAATCACTTCACTAGAAGATCATAGAGCATCAAGAGATAGATATACGAGCAGATTCAAATTGAGCAAGCGAGGATTGAAAGCATTAGAAGGAATTGATCCTTTGTTCAATACCCTTAAACACTTGTTTGGGCCTACTTATCCTTTTTTTCATAACCTTGAACCATGGCCTACATTACGTGCCTTAAAAGTCCCTTCTAATCATACATGAATTTTTGAATAGAAGAGACTATCTTCAGATTTCATCCCGCCCATCAGGATTAATCTTTATTTGCAAAAAAATTTCTAAAATCTTTAATGCATGATAGAGAAAAATGACAAAGGGGGTTCAAGATGTAAATTCTGAATGACGTCTTGAAACCAAAGGAGGATTCGAGTTGAAAACCTGAAAAGGCAGCTCGAATATAGAAATGGTGCAGCTAAGGTGATCACACAAATTCCTTGATAAGGCATTGCACAATGCGTAACCATGAGAGCTGGGAGATGCGAACATTTCCAGTAGATGAGCATACAAGTTACCTTATCAGATCAGTGAACATCAAAGAAATAAGAAGGGCAAACCATTGACCAAACACAATAACTTGAAATTCTTTTTATCCTTTCCTTACTTAATCATTTCCCAAAGATAGCTTTGATATTGACACTTGTCAAATAGCTATAATTTATTGAAGGATTAACAGTGTAATTAATTCTTTGATGTCCAATGAACTCTAGTTTTATGATTCGTCTCAATTATGAAACCGAGAAAGGGGTAATATTTTTAAAACTTTTTGATCAAACATTTTTCAAAACTATTCGACTTGATGTTTTCAGATCTTGAAAATAAAAGAAGAAGAAAAACACTTTTCAAACAAAACAATCTTTCTAGAGTGGATCTTGGTATTTGACATGTGGCTCCCAGACACAAAATCTCATGTTTAGAATCAGTGCCGAAGCAAGCAATGAGGAACAATGGGGCACTGTTAAAGATTCAACAACAAATGTTGGGGCATATTTGGAGATTCAACATTGAATATTGGGGCATATTTGGGGATTCAACATCCTGATGCAAATTATCAGTTCTTCTGAAGGCATTTCCTCCACATGTAGGAACAAGCAGACAAAGCACGAGGATATAAAACTAATTCATGTTGCATGCATCTTAGACATACTTAAGATCATCACATTCATCATTTTTTATACATATTTTTTGCAGCTTTTAGAGCCAATTTCAACTTCACGACGAAGGATATTGGACTCAAAATAGCACAAGCTTGGATTTCAACTTCACGACGAAGGATATTCAAGTCAAGGCTCAACTTCACGACGAAGGCGCCATCCACGATTTCAACTCCACGACGGAGGATATCGTACCAATGGATCCACGATTTCAACTCCACGACGGAGGATATCGTGCCCACACATCCACGGTTTCAACTTCACGACGAAGGAAATCGTACACACAAGCAGCATTCATCTCTAGATTGGATTTCAACTTCACGACGAAGGATATCCAACTCAAAGAAGGAGTGTCTGTCAATAAACTTTCCAGTTTCAGAGCCAATTTTAACTTCACGGCGAAGGATATTGGACTCGAAATAGCACAAGCTTGGATTTCAACTTCACGACGAAGGATATTCAAGTCAAGGCTCAACTTCACGACGAAGGTGCCATCCACGATTTCAACTCCACGATGGAGGATATCGTACCAATGGATCCACGATTTCAACTCCATGACGGAGGATATCGTGCCCACACATCCACGATTTCAACTTCACGATGAAGGGAATCGTACACAAAAGCAACATCCATCTCTAGATTGGATTTCAATTTCACGACGAAGGATATCCAACTCAAAGAATGAGTGTCTGTCAATAAAATTTCTAGTTTTAGAGCCAATTTCAACTTCACGATGAAGGATATTGGACTCGAAACAACACAAGCTTGGATTTCAACTTCGCGACGAAGAATATTCAAGTTAAGCCTTCACAGAAGTAAAGCAAGTTCATCAGTAAGTCTTTCAAGCATGATGATTAAGTCCTCCGGGTCATTTTAAGCCTTCACCAAAGAGTAGTGAAGCAAATCAATCTTAAGCCTTCACAAAATAGTGAAGCAAATCCAGATCTGATATTCCCTCAGAGGAAGCGGAAGAGATCATTCTCTTTCAAGATTTGATATTCCCTGAGTGACAGCGGAACAAATCTGCTTCGATTCAATGGATCAACTCCCCCAGATCTGATATTCCCCTCGGAGTAAGCGGAACAGGTCTCTTTTCTTCAAGATTTGATATTCCCTTCAGAGTAAGTGGAACAAGTCTGCTTCGATTCAATGGATCAACTCCCCCAGATCTGATATTCCCTTCAGAGTAAGTGGAACATATCTTTCTTCTTCAAGATTTGATATTCCCTTCAGAGTAAGCGGAACAAGTCTCTTCTCCAAGATTTGATATTCCCTTCAGAGTAAGTGGAACAAGTCTGCTTCGATTCAATGGATTAACTCCCCCATATCTGATATTCCCTTCGGAGTAAGTGGAACAGGTCTCTTTTCTTCAAGATTTGATATTCCCTTCAGAGTAAGCGGAACAGATCTCTCTTCTCCAAGATTTGATATTCCCTTCGGAGTAAGTGGAACAAGTCTTTATTCTTCAAGATTTGATATACCCTTCAGCAAAAGTGGAACAAATCCCTCTCATGCAAGATTTGATATTCCCTGAGTGACAGCGGAACAAGTCTACCCAGATTCAATTTTCCCTGAAGAACAGTGGAATGAATCAACATACTCAGATCTGATATTTCCTGAGTGATAGCGGAACAAATGCCTTATCATATTTCAAACTATGAAGTTGACAAAGCAAAAAATGCATTGTCTCTTCGTCTTTGCCCTATTCTTGTTGACACAAGAATGGGCAAAAAGGGGCAGCTGTAGACACCTCATTTTTCCACCATTTCCCACTACCCCAATTGTGAGCACCATATTTTTAAAACCTGTGCTCCACTTTCCAAATCGCTGCACCCAACAACTCATACACCGCGTGGAGCATAAACCCCACCACTATCCCATTCATTTTTATTTTCAAATCCCACACAAAAATCCCACTCAAACACCATTATTTGGGCACTAGTGGAAGAGCCAATATGGAGGAACAAAAAAAAATGTTATATCAGGGGAGCAAAACGTGGGAGACCAGAGAATCACCAGGGGAGCCAAAGAGAGGGGAGAGAGAAAAGGAAAAAAGGCTTCAGTGATTCTGTCGGATTCTCATCATTGATCGGAATCTCCGATTACCATTCCGAACGGTCAAAAGTTGTGAAAGACCATCATGAACAACATACTGAAAATTCAGGACGATCAAACGGTGGACGGCGGTGGATCGAAGAAAATAAGCCGAACGGTTTTTGGTCTCTTGCCTGCGATCGGGATCTTCGATTAACATTCCGAACGGTCAAAAGTTGCGCGAGACCATCATGAACAACATACTGAAAATTCAGGACGATCAGACGGTGGATGACTGCAGATCGGAGAAAATAAGTCGAACGGTTTTTAGCCTTTTGCCGGCGATCGGGATCTCCGATCAATACTTCAAACAGTAAAAAGTTGTGTAATGTAAACACGAACAGCATACTGAAATTTCATGACGATCGGACGGTAGACGGTGGTGAATCAGAGAAAACAAATCCAGACGATATTTGGCCTCTCGCTGGTGATCGGAACCTCCGATCAATATTCCAAACGGTCAACAGTTGCGCGATGTCAACACGAACAACATACTGAAATTTCAGGACGATCGGACGGTGGCACGGCAGCGCAGTAACATGATGGCCGGTGAATCATTTATGACACATGTTATGTATTTTTTGTATAATTTCTACTTAATCCCTGAACTTTTATGTGTGTTTTTCATTCCAGCATATGAATATATATGTTTTCTTGATTTTAACACTATAGTTTCTGTTATTTTATTTTAGTCATCAGTTTATGTTATTTTTGTTTGTGTATGCATTTGGCGTGTAATTTTGATTAATTGGTGTTCTATCCTTTAAATTTAATTTGTTGTGTTTTGATTTGGTCTTTGTATTGCATGTTTATTTAATTTTAGTCACAAATGTTGATTATTTTGTTTTTGTCATTTAGACATTAGAGTTCTATGTTTTTACATGTTTCTTTTTAGGTCCTAAAGGTTGATTTATTTCTTCATACATTTGACCATTTAATATCTGCATGTATACTTTAATTCTTACTTTGTTTGTATTTAAAAATAGTAATATTTTATTTAATATTGTTTAATCCTTAAATATAGTTATTTCGTAAAATTTGTATTTTGAAGTTAATATGTTTTTAAGTCACTTTCGTACATTATATATTAATATATATATATATATATATATATATATATATATATATAAGTTATAAGGTATATAATTTGTGGTGTTTAAATATTTTTACATAACATCTTTTTTGCATAATTTGCATGATAGCCTCATGAGCATTACTTGACTTGAATTGAAATAAATTGACTAAGGGTAATATTCGAACATTTTAATATTGTCGTAAAGTGACTGTCTTAACGTATAAGAAAGTTACTTTCGATAATTTTAAAATGAAAGTCTATCCTATAAGTGACACCAATTAAAACAGATTCATTTTTAAAATTTGGGGACTGAGGAAAAGACCGTATTCTTTTAATTAAATTCATCGAGAAAAGACAGTTAGATCGAATCTATGGTCTCGTCTCTTGATATTTAATTAATTGAATACCCTTATTCTCATTAAATATTGGTAAATAAATAATTAATCAATTGCTTGATAATTTTTTTACGTTTGCATGTGTTTTTAAAGGGTTTTCAAAATAATAATGTTCGATCATAAATAATTAAATATTATTATTTTATCTCTAAAAATTATTTTGGGTGTTATTATTTTAAAATTTATAATGAAATTTTAATATTTTTTATTTTGATTGGAGTAAGAATTGATTGCTTCAAGGTATGATAGATCATTTCTTCTCGATAGGATATAATTAAATATTATTATTCTTTCATCCAAAATTTTGAAAAATATTATTTTAGGGGATCATAAATCAAATTAATTTTGAACTTGTACATTTTATTGCAAAGACAATTAATTAATCGATTAGGTACCGATTTAGGGCGTTGTGGGGGTGTTAATCCTTCCCCACGCGTAACCGACTCCCGAACTCATTTTCTAGTAACGCGGACCTAAATTTGTTGTTTTAATTAAAATTAATTTTTATTTAAAATGACAAAACGTTTTTTGGGTGCCCAATCACAACTTAATTAAAGATTGGTGGCGACTCCTCGAACCGTATTTTTATCATAAAAGAATTTCCAAATTTTCGAAACGCCAAGCTGTCGAAACGGTATTTTTCCCGGGTGAGATTTTGGAAACCACACCAATTTTTAATTATTCTCTTCAGATTAAATTTAAATTAAAAGTGAATGTGATTAAAAAAAATCTCTCGTTTCGAAAATTTGGAAATTCCTTTATGATAAAAATACGGTTCGAGGAGTCGCCACCAATCTTTAATTAAGGTGTGATTGGGCACCCAAAAACGTTTTGTCATTTTAAATAAAAATTAATTTTAATTAAAACAACAAATGTAGGTCCGCGTTACCAGAAAATGAGTTCGGGAGTCGGTTACGCATGGGGAAGGATTAGCACCCCCACAACGCCCTAAATCGGTACCTAATCGATTAATTAATTGTCTTTGCAATAAAATGTACAAGTTCAAAATTAATTTGATTTATGATCCCCTAAAATAATATTTTTCGAAATTTTGGATGAAAGAATAATAATATTTAATTATTTCCTATCGAGAAGAAATGATCTATCATACCTTGAAGCAATCAATTCTTACTCCAATTGAAATAAAAAATATTAAAATTTCATTTTAAATTTCAAAATAATAATACCCAAAATAATTTTTAGAGATAAAATAATAATATTTAATTATTTATGATCGAACATTATTATTTTGAAAACCCTTTAAAAACACATGCAAAAGTAAAAAAAAATTATCAAGCAATTGATTAATTATTTATTTACCAATATTTAATGAGAATAAGGGTATTCAATTAATTAAATATCAAGAGACGACACCATAGATTCGATCTAACTGTCTTTTTTCGATGAATTTAATTAAAAGAATACAATCTTTTCCTCAGTCCCCAAATTTTAAAAATGAATATGTTTTAATTGGTGTCACTTATAGGATAGACTTTCATTTTAAAATTACCGAAAGTAACTTTCTTATACGTTAAGACAGTCACTTTACGACAATATTAAAATGCTCGAATATTACCCTTAATCAATTTATGTAATAATGTCGAGTTACGCATGTGAGGCTAGCATGCAACATTTAATTAAAGTAATAATATGATTATCTAGTTAATAAATAATATAGGAATAACATGCGATGACATTTTAATACCCAAATTATATACATTATAACTTACATATATATATATATAAATACATCTGCGCATGTATTGTGATAATTTGGACATAAAAAAAATCTTGTTATTTAAATATCAATGCATGATGGCATTTTGACAATCAAGGAACCTAAAAACTAAATAAATATATCACACATATTCAGGAAAACAACGTAATGGCTAAAATGAACAAAATAAAAGCTAAAGGTTATTAGCATGAAATAAAGCAAAACATCATATTTTAATATAAATAATTAAACAGTGTGGGTATCATAACTGTTATAATACTATGAACATTTAGGACCAAAACAAATATATACAAATTCAAACAACAGAAATATAAAATCACAGAATAAGGAAATGAACATGCTTGAGGTACTAAAATAAAAAAAACAGGACTTCATCTCAAATGTAGAAAGTTAAGCAAATCCAAGTAAAATAACATAGGGACCAAAATAAAAATTACCAAAGTCATATGCCATAAAAAAATAAATTAATAACAACCCAATACTGGACTAAGAGGACAAATGCGAGAGTTTGAAAGACCGAAGAGTAATTTATCCGAAAGCTTTAATATAAAAGCTAACTAAAGGTTAAACCTAAACTAATCCTACATCAACCAGCTGTTTTCATCACTTTTCTCTCCACTCATCTTTTTTTTCAAACCCACGCATCCCTCTCTACCTTCTTCTTTCTATTTTGTTTTGTTTTAAAACTTATATTTACTAAACTAATCTCTACCCCTATTCTTGATAACAGAGCACGAGCCAAGAACAAATAGAGTCAACAAGACTCCATTTGAATTCGTACAATCCAAGTAAATTTCTAATCCCTCTCTATTTTTTCTTTATTATTTATTTCGCAACATACATGCACACATAAGGAAACTATGAAAGGAATGTAGAATAATAACTAAAAATAAATACCCTTTTGATTATATGTATTGCTTTGGTTCGATGAAAAAGGAACAGCCCTGTGTTTGTATTAATATCTTCGTAAGAGGAAAAACCCCATTTACACACTGTTTTTTCTAGGGTAGCTTAGTCGAAGCTCCCCCTCTTTTACAAACTGTTTCCCCTCTTTCAAAATTGAGAGTCCCTTGCCCCAATCCTTTTTTTTTCTTGAACCATGGCACCTGTAATTAATCTATAGGACCATAGCTAACAAAGCTTCTCCACCCCTTTTTTCTTGCACTCTCCCTCATATTTATGGTTGCTTCGAATCCATCTTTTTCCTTCTTCCCTGGATTAGTGCTGAAGCAGGTATGTTTTAATCCCATAATTTCCGGGATTTATTTTTATTTCAAAGTTTAGGTAAAGGTTTGTCGAATATTTTTGACTTGGGTGGCTGATTTGGTGCATGTTTTGCTGACTTTTGATGGAAGATAAGGAAGCATGGATGGTGTGGCATGTAGTTTTCAGTGGTGGTGCCAAATCTGTCATCATTTTTTTTTGACTTATGGGAAAAGGAAAATCCACTTGGACATAATGCAAAAGCCATATTCATGTGTGGTCCACCCCTAGATGTAAGAAAATGATATTTCACCAATCCTGTGTATGAATATCTCATGTAAGAAAATGATGATTGGTTGCTTGCATGGCCTAAAAAAGCAATATTAATATTAATAAATAATAATAATAATGATAATAATAATAATAATAACGGGATGAAAAATCGAGTATCGACAGTTGCCCCTCTTTGTCCATTCTTGTGTTAACAAGAATAGGGCAAAGATGAAGAGACAATCAATTTTTCGTCCAGTCAACTTCATAGTTTGAAATATGATACAGGATCTGTTTCGCTGTCATTCAGGGATTATCAGATCTGGGGATGTTGATCCACTCCATTGTTCTTCAGGGAAGATTGAATCAGGATAGACTTGTTCCATTATCACTTATGAAATATCAAATCTTGAAAGAGATTTGATCTGTTCCACTTCTTCTGAGGGAATATCAGATATGGGAAAGTTGATTCATTGAATCAAAGCAGACTTGTTACACTTACTCTGAATGGAATATCAAATCTTGGAGAAATTGATCCATTGAATCGAAGCAGACTTGTTCCACTTACTCTGAAGGTTATATCAAATCTTGGAGAAGTTGGTCCATTGAATCGAAGCAGACTTGTTCCACTTACTCTGAAGGGAATATCAAATCTTGGAGAAGTTGATCCATTGAATCGAAGCAGACTTGTTCCACTTACTCTGAAGGGAATATCAAATCTTGGAGAAGTTGATCCATTGAATCGAAGAAGACTTGTTCCACTTACTCTGAAGGGAATATCAAATCTTGGAGAAGTTGATCCATTGAATCGAA